GAATGTCAAGTCCACAATCTACATTCCGTACAAAAAAATAAAAAATCCGATTTATGCTATAGATTGGCTTTATAATTTGTAAGTACAATGTAACGGTGTTGTTTTTTCGTTGCGCCTTCGTGCTCAGTGACATGAAATTCTTGTGCAATATGACACACACAGTTATTTCCTTATGACTTAATGACACACTGCAAGCGTGTGGAGAGCTCATTTCATCGCTTCATTGCAGCAATAATTTCAACGCCAATTAACATTACAGATGATCGTGTAGGAAACGAACTTCTTTGTATGTATTAGCACGACATCTTTCTATAATTGCTACATATTCCTTTTTTTTTTTGTATAATTCATAATTACATGTGTTCCTCGGTATGGCTTGAAATTCGAAACTTTTGTCCTGTTTTTTTTTTTTTTTTATAAAAACATTGTTAGGATTACTGAAAATACTCAAAAGCTCTGTGGGAATATTTGTGTTGCACTCGCTGCTCTTAACTTAATGAGCTCATCAACGAAGCTTGCATACTTCTCTTCAAGGACGTTTTTACATTTTAAGTAGGCAATTAACAGTCACGCTGCCTCTTCTGCTACTGTTAAACTGCTCATCTATTATATGATTTGTTTGCTCCCTTTTTTCAGTTAATTTTATTCTCTTCTAATTTTCTGTGACGTCCAAACAAGAAGCAAATAATGCATCATTCCCATTACAGTTGTACGTCCACTGTTCGTGCAGTTCGTTGTGTCCTTATTTGTTTTGTCATAGAACTGCTCATCTTATTTGCTTAGCTGTTGACATGTGCTGCTTTCTTAGATGCCTTTGAAGATGCATTTGAAGGTGCATGGCTGGCGCAACGCCGAAATATGAAAACACTACGAAATGTATAAAAATATAAATATAATTATATACTAACATACGTATGTACATCAAAGAGTACCATTATGGCTATATGTATTTGGATATACAGAGGACACTTTAGCCGTAAGATTTACGGATTTGTCAAATAGGTTAGCTCAGGCTACACTGAGCAGCTTATGCGCCTCACAAAGACCCTTTTTTTGTTTGATGGTGGTCCGTTTTATTGCGATCTAAAATAGTCATCGTATAGGACGTCAACGTCAAATTCAAGAGAGCCTTAATATCTTGCAGGATCCCCGAACCACGAAGCTCCGAGATATCTAAAACGAGTTCTAGCGCAGAAACAGAGGAGGCATTGCAGCGTCCTACATATGCCACTGCTACTAATGTTCAATCTGTTTCCACTTAGTACGTTATGGCTCGCCTACAGGCTAACAATCGCTCTGCATAGACTTACGTCAAGTAAATATTGGGTTGCCTAAAAAAAACCGGCATTTTTTAAAAGAAAGTAAATATACATATTTTTTTAATTTTAATTATATAATGAACTTTAATCGATTATGTAATTGCAAAATTATTGAATGACCTTTCGCCATCTTACCGGCAACGTAATTTATCCACGCTCATAGAACTTTTGGCTTTTATCTGCGAAAAACTGAACCAAGTGCAATTTTATAGCCTCGTGATTTTAGAAATTTGTACCATTTAATGAGTTCTGAAAAGATCGAAACAAATGATAGTCTGATGGTGCAAGGTTAGGGTTATATGATGGCTGCATTAACATTTCCCAGCCAAGCTCTCTCAGTTTTTGGTGAGTGACCAAAGATGTGTGCGGTCTAGCATTGCCTTGGTGGAATATGACAACTTTACGATTGACCAATTCTGACCGCTTCTCGTTTGGTTCCTTCGGAAGTAGCTCAAAATATACCACATCCTTCCAATGCTACCAAATTGACATCATAATCTTCTTTGGTGAATATCAGTCTTCGAAATGTTTTTTGCTTGGACCATGATCGTTATGATTTATTTCAAAAACAGATTATATTCATTGCGTTTAAATTGCATATCACGGGCATTGAAGCGGCTTGTTGAATGAATTTCTTTCGATTCATATGGTATCCAAATATTAAGTTTTTTTACCAGTCCGAGACGTCTTATGTGATTATGAGCAGTCTCTACAATCTCACGCTCAGTTTCATGCAAAGAGAACGCTTTAATAACACATTGGATATATTAAAATACACCATAAAAAAACATCGAAAGATCATCTTGACTAATCAGGCTATTTCCACCTCGTTGGCTACGGCAATTACCAAACTGTCATATTTGGGGTTCTTCATCTGCAATGTGTGGAGAGATGAGTAAAGATTTTTTATTCCCAGAATCGGATGTTATTGATCTGGAGAACAAGACAAGCAACGATACCATCGATCTTTTAAGGGGAATGGTTTCTTTGAAAATTTCTCATTGGGAAATCCTTAACAACGCACCTTGTGCTGCTATACGATTTCAAAAGATATCTGAAAAGAATTAAATTAAGTACCTTCCACTAAAAATGAGTAGAGCTAGAATGACTCGAAAGACACATTTCTTGCATAATCAACTCGATTTTCCCTCACAAAACTTATCTTCTAAGTGGCCGACAAACAAACACGTTGTCAAGGATTTTGAGATGAAAGTGAAAAATATACCAAAAAAATACAAAAAACTCAGTTCCACCTCTCTGAACATTAAAAATTAAAAATCACAACAAATTTGGGTATTGAGTATATCAAAAGCCATGTACATAGAATCAATCTTAAAAAATACCACTTGCTTTAAAGGAGTAGGTTGAAGTTTCTGAGTGGGTAACATTAGGCGACTTGAGCGAAATAGCGGAGACTGAGATATGGCGATTGCTCAGTTTGCTTTGATTAGCGGCTGGGCGTCACTGGGATCCTCAGCTAATGCCCAGCAACCATTTCAGCCAATGATTTAAAAATAATCACACAACACAGAAAAATCTTAGCAAAATTTCAAAAAAAAAAATATTCTGTTTGAGTATTTGCTGATGAATTTGGGATTTTTAATGCAAGATAGAATATATAAAACAACAATTAAAAGATATTGTTGTTTTATATATTCTATCTATGTGTGAGGCCCTTCTCTAATTGCTATCTCTAGTATCGATATTGGAACGCATAGTTTTTTTTAAGTTATCATTTTATGCAACAAATACAATATCGGTCCCAAGCCTCCGACATCAATGTTATTTTAGGCTGGAATCTATCTCTATACTAAAGAGTTGAATTGAGTTGATGCGGTTGCTGGTCATCCCCAGCACAGGCCGCTGAGGCTCCTGCCTCCATCTCCTCAAATAATCGAACCATTTCGTGTGCCTTATGAAGGTAACAATATTTCCAACGTTCATTGAGGTCAACTCAGTATGACAGTCGAAGAAGTGTTCCCAAGAAACTTGTGTCGGACGGATGTCAAGGCTGGACAATGGCAGAGGTGCTCTCCTCCTCTTCGTTAGAGTAAAAGCCCCTTTAATAGTGTCCAGCTTTATACCCGTTGCTATGCTAATAGAGAATCAGTCCAGAAGGATAAGCTATTTAGATTTTTTCGCATCCAACTTCGGCCATAGCTGTCTGGTCACGTTACACATGATCTCGTTCAACCATCGTGAGTCAGCTTCCCTGGTGAAGGCCAGTTTAAGCATGTACTTAACCGTAGACAGAGGTAAACCAGCATCACCCGTTTCAAATCGCACATTTAAATCAATATGTTTACCAATCCAATGATGGAAGGATTCAAGATCAGTTTTTGGGGTGAAGATATTAAAGCTTTTGGAAATAGGGTGAACATTTTCACCACCCACTCATTGGAAATGCGCTGCTGTAGTCATGGTACCTAAACCAAATAAACTTGAAAATTTTGTGAAATCTTACCGTCCTATTAGACTGCTGGTAACATTTTCCAAAATATTCGAAAGGATATTTTTGCGAAGAATGTTGCCTGTAATTGAGGATGTCAATAACATACCTGAATATCAGTTTGGGTTTAGAGTAAGACATGGTACATCAGAACAAATCCATGGGATTGCAAATATAATAATATATGCGTTGGAAAAAAGAAAATATTGTTCTGCAGGTTTTTTAGACGTTCAACAAGCATTTGACAGAGTATGGCATCAAGGACTTCTTTATAAAATGAAAAAGATTTTGCCAGCGCATTCTGAAATTTTATCTGACGGCAGGCATTTTTATAAAAAACCTAAGGAAGCCTCATCAGAAATTTACAACTTTAATGCCGGCGTATCCCGGCGTAGAGTTTTAGGTCCCGTCCTATATGCTATTTTCACATCGGATATGGCGACTATTGCTGAAGATACCGCTTTTATCGCTTGTAGCGAGTATCCAATAGAAGCTTCCTCTTTGCTGCAAAATTCACTTGACAGTCTTGGCTAGACAAATGGAGAATTAAGGTTAGTTCGGGAAAGTCTACACATGTCACCTTTACTTTAAGAAGAGAGCACTGTCCTACTGTATTTCTAAACATTAATCAGATTCTCACTAGTGATAACGTCAAATATTTAGGAATGCATCTTAATCGACGTCTAACATGAAAAATCATATTAAGGCTAAGCAGCAGCAACCAAAAATTAAAACAAAACGAATGTACTGGTTGTTAGGTCGCAACTCCCAGCTTAGTCTGGAAAACGAAGTACGGCTCTACATGGTTATTCTTAAGCCTATATGGCCCTACGGGATCCAGATCTGGGGTACTGCTAGCAAGTCCAATGTGGAGATCCTCCAACTTTCCCAATCGAAAACGTTGCGCTCAATGGTTAATGCTCCCTGGTTTGTTACCAATGAAGCTATTCACAAGGGGCTAGGCGTGTGCCTAGTAAAAAATGAAATTCCAAAATACACCGTTAGATATTTTGCATGCCTATGAAACTATACGATAAAAGCCCGGTCATATAGTAAAAAAAATTGCCAGACATTTTTTAATTAGTTTTAGGTGATGCTGCATCTCCTTTGTGACTTTTGCGCCATTATTACTTATTAAATATAGCAAACTTATCCGGAAAACTTGAAGTTTTAAATTAAATCTCAGGAAAACTTCTATATTTTTTATATAATCAAATTGCTTTGCATTGCAGGTTTGCGTCATAAATGCAGCAGCAGCCATGAATGTGAGGACGGTCTGGTTTGCCAATTTGAGAGTCTTAATCGCACGATTGGTGTATCGAAATTCATTTCCAAAACCAAGTTATGCCTGTGCGATAATGAAAGCGGTTTCTTCGAGGATGTCTTGCGTGATATTTGCAGTGGTGGTGAGTGCTCAGCAGCAGTATTGACTAAAATTTATACAGAATTTTATATTTTAAACTAAAAAAAAAATACCAATCTTACAGCTTCTCTACAAACAATTGCAAATATTTTACTGTCATTGACCTCCACCGTGGCGCCGTTCATTGTCTACGCACGCATGAAGCCGCATTTCTAAAATGGAATAACAACCAGCAATTTATTTATTTATTAATTTATTTATTTATATTTTGTTAATTTCTCTCAAATGTGATTAAAGAACATATCTTTGTATGTATGTAGTTGATACAAAAAGTTTGCTGTAATAATATACAACTATTCAATTCGATTGCGGCCGTAAGCCCACACACACATTCGTGTATTGTCAATTAGCTTAGTAAAAATGGATTTGTATTGTGTGGTAAATGTAGCAACACCATTATTAATATATGTATGTGTAAATGTATTTAAGAAATTAGCACACAATAAAATATTATTTTAAACAGTTGATTGAAATCATCCAACTTTAAACAGTCCTCAACTCAACTCAACTCAACTCAGCTCAACTCAACTGAAATTATTGTTTTTTTGGTGTATATATGCAATTTGTTATATATTTGCGCATAAATATGTACATGCTATGTAAACCTATACAAATATCTGTATAAATACTACTACTTACGTGCCTCTTATGTACTAGAAAATATTATATACAAAAATTAAGTTTATTTACTTTTATACTTTTTAGTGCTCTACTATTTATATGGATGTATGTATAATCAACTTTAGAAAAAAAAAATTAATATAACATAACATTGTTAAACATTTATGTATGTGTATCTTATCTACCACAGATGTCCTTAAACCCCAAAAATTCATAACATTGTACCACCGCCAATTTTTATGTATCTGCCTTCTCATAAAGGTGCAATTATTTACAAAAAAAAAAATAAAAAATAAAAATAAAAAAAAATTAATAAATTCATTAATTAAATGTAAAACATATCAAACTGCAATGCACACAATTAGATTTAGCAACAAAATAATATTGTATCATTCATGACTCTCCTTCGCACACACGCACACACACACACAGTTGTTACATTGATGTAAACACGTTAGCAGAAAATCCATTTTTAATACTGCACTAAAGTTAATAGATAAATAAATTTGGGAATAGATATAATCAAGCTTTCAGTTAACTTATTGTCCTATAAATATGCGAGGGAATACAAGTAGTTAATTCTGTCATTTATACCATGAATACAACAAAGATAAATAAATAATTAAATACCTAGGAGTAAGCCTACGAATTCCCACTTATATATGTATATGCGCTTTATACCACATCAAAAATAGAAATTATCTTCCTTGATGTGAATAAGGAACATTTTTAATTCATTTTCTTATTTATGTATGTATCTTGACAAATCGATCGATCGCACAACTTCTACCCCTGTATTTTTATGAAAATTAAAATTCAGCTCAAAAATTAATAAAATTAGAAATTTCCTGCTTCTTCTTTAACGATTATAGTCGAATCAATTCCAATTGGAAACACCAAGTGAAGCCAGGTCACTCTCCACTGGGTCATGTTAACAGAGTGGAGGACTTCCTCTTCCTCTGCTTCCACCGGCGGGTATTGCATGTTAAAGTTGCAAAACTGGACTATTAGACAAAAAGTAATACATATGTACATATATATAATTGGCACTTTGTAACCACTGAAGCGATTTTCGGCCGAGGTCGTCCTGCATTTTGTTATTTTGCCTCTTGATGTTGTTCCGACAAATGTTGGGATCTACAGTTTATACTAAGCCACCTCCAAACGGCTGATGGAATTTTTATGAGGAGCCTTTATTTCATGTTGGATATACACTCGGAGGGGTTAACTCAATTTTCTATTTAAATAAATTTTCTATAACTTTTGGATGTTAGTCGTACTGGGATTTTAACCCTGTCCTCCCGAATGGTAGTACGCCATGCTAACCTCTCGGCTACAGTGGTCGCCATAAGAACTGAGACAAAAAAAATGCTCAAGATTATTTACGACTTCAAAGTGATCAATATCAGATGACGTTTATTTTCTGATAACAGATATTTTGATCTTATTCTCGTTCACTACCAGCCCCATACGCCTGTTTCCTAAGTCTAAAGAGAGCTGATCTTGCAGTGTATTTGTTGAGGCCAATAATGGCTATACCATCTGCATACGCCATCAGCTGTTCCCTCTAATAAACTACTTATGTACCTTCTTGACTCAGCTCTGCCGTTCGTATTGTTAATTTCTCCAGCAATAAATTAAAGAACTCATACGATAAGTCATAGGCGCGGATTCCAAATCCCGCTATAGCGACGTAGAAACAACTATTTTTCGTGCTGCGGAAGATTGCTTTAAAATCAACGAAGAGGTGGTGTGTGCTGATTCTGTTATTGCGGATCTTTTCCAAAATTTGGCGCATAGTAAATGTCTGGTCAATGATTGATTTACCAAGTCCAAAGCCACTAAACGCTTCAGCCTTTCAAACCCAACGCTCGATAGGATAAGACTGTTGAAACGTATTTCTTATGGATTGGACAGTGCATACTTAGGTTCCAATCGTCGGGCAAGCTTTCCGTTGCCCATACTCTGCAAAGAAGCTGATGCATGCATATTGGTAGTTCTTCACCGGCCGGCACCCTATAGGGCCCCGCCGCTGTGTTATTTTTCAAGTGGGCGATTGCTATTCGAACATCTTCATAGTCGGGAATGACACATTTGTTCCATCGTCATCAATAGCGGAATCAGGATAATCATCTCCTAGTGTTTATTTTCACTGCCATTCAGCAGGCTGGACATTGGTTAGATCACCACATTGCGTCCTACAACAATTTGCTCCGGCCTTGAAACACTCGGTAAATTGCCTTCATACTCACGCATCCGTCCTCTTTCTTTTTTGTTTGTACATTCGTCTTGCTTCCCTCTTCAGCTCTCGTTATCTATCCTAACCCGCCAGTGAAGTTAGGGATCGCTCAAGTAGGCAGCCTGTTTTATGTCCACTGCAGCATGACAGTCCTCAACAGCGTACGCATGTCTGAACACATATCTCCAGCCTATCGCAACATGATCGATCTGGTTGTGAGCCTTTGATGTGAATACAGCCGCCGCTTGATAAATTTTTTTGTGCTAAAATCTAGCCTTGCAGACAACCATATTTTTGACCTCGGCGAAGTCGATACACCTCAGCCTGTTATGTTTCGTCGTAGAGGCTGAATTTTTCCACAATTGTGCTGAAGTTACCTACTTTGCCCTCGATGGTATTAAAGGCGCCAAACGTAAATTTTTTGACATCGTGGCTGAAGCAGCGCTCATGAGTACGTTGTAGGCGCTGGTAAAAGCCATTTTTAGTCACAGCGTCCTCCTCTTCCGCCGGAACGTATACGAAAACCAACGATATGCAATTTGGTAGAATTTATTTTTCACTTCATACAGTTCACAGTAACCTGGAAATCGAATGAATTGAATTACGAACACAGCGATACTTTTGCATATTTCAACAGGCGCTTGTGATAATCCCTTCAGATCTTCTTTGAAAAATCAATTTATGAGGTCAAAATGGTAATTTGTTGCCTTTTTTTTGATAACTTACCAAAATCACTTCGGTGGTCATTTCTGCCGAAAAATCGCAAAAAAACTTGTATACTTCCTCCTACTGTAAGACCTCTGATATAATATGTATATTTATTATATAATATATATATAATTGGCGCTTTGTGATTACTGAAGCGATTTGCTGGCAACAAAGTTTATTCTAAGCCGCTTCGGAACGGGCGATGGATTTTCATTTCAATACACTCTGGAGTCTTGGCATTCTCTGCCGATGGAAGGCCGCAATTAGGAAATTAAATTTTCAACAATTTAGAGTTTTGATCGAACTAGCAATCGAACCCTGGTCTTTGGAGTAGTAGTGCACAATGCTAAAATGACGCCATTGCGGCTGCCAAAATTGAACTTTTGCTCTGTCAAGCTATAGCTGAAATAGAAATCAGTTTCATGTAAATTAAATGGATCAAACGCTCTTTATATCTATTTGGCTCTCTAAGCAATTGGGAATCATTTAGTAGGTCGGAGTATCCTTCAATGGTTACAAATATGTCGTCTGATCGCTATTTTATTTTACTAAAATGCAAATTGTACGAATTGAAATTTAATTTAACACATTTAGCAACAACTTTAAAACCAGTTCCAAGCGAAAAAGCCGACTTTTACTTGACTAGGAATATGCCCCTTTAACTCTACAGTCAGTTCTCAGTACAAAATTAACGAAGAAACTTTGAAACTTTGAGTGAAACTGGATTACATAAGGGTCACAGATTTAATTCTTAGGATAGTTCTTAATATCTCATATCCTTAAAATAATTTCTATTGCCCATTTTGCTGAGTAATTAATTTGATAATTAAATGAAATCGTTAATTAAGCATTAAATATTAATATTGTACATATAAATACTTTGTTTTTTTGTGCTCCTCGTTAATGGTAACTGTTAAGGACTCCGTGCACCATCATTCAAGGACCCAACATTACAAACACTACATCATAATTTACTTCTAGGTACTATATTTAGTTTAATTTTTGGTAGTAAGTGCGATTATAGGGCAGGAGTCAGGAAATTGAAGTAGCACTAAGCCATTTTGATTCTGATTCCTGAAAGCATCTCTCTTCTAGCTTCTTAATATATTGAATTGAAGGCAACATAAACGAAATGCTTATAATATTTTTACAATTTTTTTAGGTTATATTAAACGAAGAGTTAAATTTTCGAAACGTTATAAATAATCATTACTGTGGATGTAAGTTTAATAAAAATTCAAAAGCAAAAAGGATTTTTTTCTGATTTATTAAGTTTACTGTCGGGTGAGTACCAAAAATGCCATTGTCATAGATAAGAAGCCATTTAAGCTGATATTCCATTAATGTGAGCAATCACTGTGACCAGAGCAATCCTCTCCAATATATTGGGCAACTACAAGAAGCCGCCGGGTTTAAAACAAGCAGCTCGCTATACGTGTATCAACATAAATTAGCTCGTAAGAAAGGATTTGGCCTTTTGAACAATTAAAAATTAAGTTCAGTGAAAAAGAGAAAATTTCCAGTTTCGTATTGAGCACCAAACCTGCTGATATATATTTTTGAAGGCTTTCATCGGGACTACTCGCTTTCTTAATTGGAAAGGTGTCGGTCGCTACTTCTAATTTCATTATTATGCAATCATATAGAGCAGAGAGATTTTGGTGTTAAATTTGTGGTAGATAAAGACTCATTTTGGCCACGATTCACAACAAAAGAGATCTACCCTAATATACTGAAGCTGTTTTACTTCGCCAGACAAAATCTGTCTGTATGCTCCTGGCGAAGAATCGGCCTTTGTGCACTGAGGAACGAAGGTTCACAAACTCTAGGAAGGTTCAATGGTGTAAAGCTACACTCTCAATCGATAATTGGTTGGTTGGTTGAAAGAGGATGCGCCAAGGCCATAGAGTAGGCTCACTGTGCTCCCCCGCTTAACCTAATTACACTTTGGCAAACATTTCGATCTACTTCATGAACTTGTTCAATTTCTTCCTCATATCCAAGGTTTTTTTTTACACGACTCACTCATGCTCTGTAATGTAAGAGCAGGCGTCAACAAATCGGTATAAGGAATCTGTAATATTGCCGCCGAAAAAACGGTCGGTTTTCGGAAGGGTTAATGTCACCGAGAGCTGAAGATGGAGAAAGACGTATTTGCATAAAAAAAAGAGTAAGGTCGAGATGCGTAAGTATAAAGTTCGTTAAAAGCTGACCGATAAAGGTAATGCTCGAAAATTTTACGAAAAGCTATGGCAACTTACAGAAGCTTTCAAGACCGGAGCAGACTCTTATAAAACACAAAAAGGTGGTCTACAGGAACAAATGTTGCCTGACTGTGAAGAAGTTTTAAAAGCAATCCTGCGCTAGAAAAACAGCAAAGCGGCCGGGGCCGATGGATTACCGGCCGGGGCAGATGGATTACCGGCCGACCTATTTAAATACGGCAGAAAAGGACTGATAAGGTACATACATTAGCTTCTTTGTAAAAAATAGTTCGAGGAAAGCATATTCGACGATTGGAACCTATGTGTGCTCTGCGCCAATTATCGCGGGATAAGCCTTTATTGGCGTCCGCGTTAGCCGAGTGGTTAGCATTGCATACTGCCATTCGGAAGGCTCGGGTTCAAATCCCGGTGCGACCAACATCCAAAAATTATAGAAAATTAATTTAAATAAAAAATTAAGTTAAGTTACCATCAGCCGTTCGGAGGCAGCTTAGTATAAACTATAAGTCCCTCCATTTGTTGGAAAAAACATCAAGATACAATACCACAAATTGGAGGAGGTGCTCGGCCGAAAATCACTTAAGCGGTTACAAAGCGCCAAAGACCACCGTCAACAAGCTAATTGGGCTTTATCAGTGTGGCTTTAGACCTGGTAAATTATTCATTGACCAGATATTCGCCATGTGCCAACTCTTGCGTAGAAAGAGAATCAGCACAAACCACCACTTCGATGGTTTTAAAGCCGAGTTGTGAATGCGATGATTGTTTGTTTGATGACAGAAGATATTTCATCTGGCCCTCGTTCACTACCAAACCCACTCATTACGCAGAACTCATCGACGTACATTCTTATTCTTCCCTAACCTCGTTTGGTATCGAACGGATCGGAGAGGTTCTTCCTGATCCTGAGCTTTTTGTGTTGCTTAAGGCCAGTTTACCTTACCGTATAAGAGGTCGAACTACAATGGAAAAATATATTTTATTGAATTTACGAATAAAGAGTTCGTTTTATTCCCAAATTTAACATCCCTTCTTCCATCCTTTTCTAGAAGACGTGATGTGAATGTACAGTTGTAGTAAAATAAATATTTATATAAATACGAAAAATTTCACGCGAATCGTTGTACAGTATTATTGCATACATTCATTTAGGAAAAAATCAATATTCAACCCGAATTCGAACGTTCGGTATTACTACCCGACGTGGTATTGGACGCATGCACGTGTTTTGAACGCGATGCTTTCAACTTCAAAAACTTCATGCCCATCATATAGATTTTCTCGTTGGCATCTTGTAAGGCGGACGTCAACTCTGAATTGCGTGTGACGGTATCCTCCTGTTGAAGGATCTTCTAAGCGGTTGAGTGTAAACATATGCTTTGCGAACTTACCAGTATGCGTGTGCGATCGCCCAGCAGTGTTTTGATCTCTTGCATCTCACGCATCATGGCATTTCGTTCCATCATCTGATAGTCCCGTTGCATGCGGCATTCATCTTGCAACTCGTAATTCTGATTTTTCAATTCGTACATCTCGCCGAGCAGCTCATTCTGTTTGAGTATAATGGTGCGCACAAGATTCTCTAAATTCTCAATTGATATTTGCGCCTCGTTCAGATTCTTCTTGAGCACCCATATTTCCGCTTTGGCTGCCGCCAACTCCGTGGCGGAGATTTCTTCATTTAATTTATTGGCTCTAAGAGTAAGCGGTGAACAAAAAAATTGTTGAAATTATTTACATTTTCAGGGCAAAAGTACTTATGTTGCTTCACTTACTCCTGTTTTGCCTCTGCCTTGGCCACGGCGAGTGCGAGCGTATTTGGTGTGAACAGCGAGACATCACTGCCGTCCGTGCTGGGATCGGTTGGCTTGCGATTTTTCGATGTCACAAAGTACTGACACAAGCACGACATTTCTCTAAAAGTATTTATTTCTAATTCCCTGCTCTTGATGGCTCAATATATGCAATGCAAATTAATGTTTTATAGCGTGGCTGGATATAATTTTTAAATTTCCGTTTTGAATTCGATAGTGTCAGCACTTACACTGTGTCAACACTCAGGGTTGCTAAGCCTTTTCGTTTTTTATTTGCCTCAGCGTTGAAATAAACCTGCTCTAATTTGAAAAGGTAGTGAAGTTAACGAACCCGATTCACCTGTGCATGACGACGGCATAGATGATCCCTCACGCGAATATGGTGATATACAAACAGCAAAGAATTTAGGAGACATGAGCTACTTTTTAGATTTAAAAGAAAAATCTACACTGATTTCCCTTCATCCGATTTTTCGATAGCACAAAACCCATGCTTTGGCTTGTAGGACAAAAAGAGGTGATCTAATAATCGATGCCAACATATACTGAATTTATGGAGGAAACACTTCTCCAGCCTCTTGAATGGCAGTGTAGATGTAATTCCAGGAGATGACGAACCCGATTCTACAATCGATGATGATGGAATGTTTCGTCGCCGGACTATGAAGTAGTCGCGGCAGGAGCCGATGGATAACCGGCCTAGCTATTCAAATACGAAGGGAAGAGCTGATAAGGTACGCTCATCAGCTTTTTAGCAATTTAAGGTCGGATGAAAAAATGCTCGGCGATTTGAGCCTACATAAGTGTGTTCTGCCTAATCCACATAAGAGTGATCTAACAATCTGATGCCTTCCGCATCATCATTGTCTCGTCACATCAATGGTATGTGCCACTTTCCGGTCACTAAAAAACTGGCCCACCCTGGAACCGCTTATCAACTCTTAGTTCTCCAACTGTGTTTTCAAGTCTGATTCTCGCGTCTTGCCAGCGAGTGCAAGAAAGATTGTATGCTCGGCGTTGTCTGCGTTTCCTATTTTATGGAGAAATTTTCTGAAATATACGTGACCAGACAGCATCTGGGTAATGCAGAAGTCTGCTTCCCCGAGATTCCTAGTTGTTCATATTCTGACATCTGCTATTAACCTGGCCGTCCATTGGCCATGACTTCCTTCTTCCCGTCGGGCTTGCCACTGGATCCGGGTTTCTTTCCTTATGCCCTCTCTGTTTGTATTGACAGGGCATCAGGGGTTCTTAATTTTTTGAGCGTCGAGTTTCTTTTCTTTACTGCGCTTTCGCTTATTACAGCTATAGCTTCTCCTGATACTGTACGGTATGCCGACGCTACCCTCAAAGCCACCGTGCGGTATGCTTTGCTCAGTACCATTCGCCTATTATTCTTCTTAAGTGAGTCAGCCCATAGTTCGGCTCCACACAGTGAGATGTTAAGGGCTAGCGCAATGATAAGCGATTAGTCTACCAAGCTGAGAAGTAACTTTGGAGGCCTTAACTGCGGCCTGAAGGCATTCCGAACGTCCAATGTGGGAAGTGGGACAATTTGCTTGTGACACCATTTTCGATTCTAGAAGCTTTCCAACAGTGTTTAGCATGCATACTAACAAGCACAAGCTGGTGTCTCTTCCAGATTTCGGAATAGGTTTCTTTTCAGGCAGGCATTAAACATATTAAGAAGTAAATTAGATCGTTTTCAGTACGTCGGCGGGTATGCCATCGAGGCCTGGAGATTTGTTTGGCTTGAGCTTACTTGCCGCTATTTGTAGCTCTTCGGTAGTAAAACAAGCTGGTTCTATAGGAAGGTTCTCCAGTACTGCTTGTTTTTCCCGTATCTTATGCGCTGGAAATAAGGTCTTAACAATCTGATCCATTTTATGTCCGGTAAATTTTGGGGGTGGTGTCCTAGTGACGAGCTTTTGCATCACTACTCTGTACCCTAGTCCCCAAGAATCCCTATTTAGGTTATTACATAACTTCGCCCACTTTTATTTTTTACTAAAATCGATTGTACGCTTTAGTTCTTTTTTCGCAGCTTGGTACATTTCCATTTCTCTAGATGCGTTGTCTCTTTGTCTGTTCCCTCTATAAGCGCGCCGAAGGCTTTGAAGCATTCCATTTGCGGAGACAGCTACATATGTGTACAAATTTGGCCTTTCTCTTCATTTGCTGAACTATGTCAATATCATCATTTGGCTGGTACATCATCTGCGGTAATCGCCGTCACCAATACTCAAAGTACCATAAATCCTTCGCAAAACTTTTCTCTCCAAGTCTCCCAGTGCTAACTCTTCGGATGTGGACATCGTCTGCACAAATAAGTAGGACGAGAATGATGAGTGACTTGTAGAATTTGATTTTCATTCGTTGAGAGTGGACTTTACTTATTAATTGCGAACTCAGTCCAAAGCGTCATCAGCTGCTAGTCCCAAGATAGACGATATTATCTACGACTCCAAAATTATGACTGTCAACAGTGATGTGAAAGCCGAGTCGCGAATGCGATGACTGTTTGTTTGATGACAGGACGAAATATCTCCTCTCTCTCCTGTCCTCATTAATTAATTTGAAGTAAAACAAACTATAAATACAAATTATACAAAAATATTGTTCCCTAGTTCAGAGTAGTCTTTCTAAGCAAAGAACCACCTATATACCGAAAAAGTGCAAATCAGCCAAGCCATTCGCGAATTACAATATACGGGTACATACATTTCGGCGATTTATTTATACTTCTATCCAGCTGACTTCGGAGGCGTTGTGCTGCGTGAAATTATGTTTTTTTGAAAAGAAAAGAAAGTTGAATTTATATTGTGTTGAAAATCATTTATTAATGATTTGTCTACAGTTTTTTCGATGTAACTCAGCTTGATAAACAATATGTTTTAATTCCTGTACCGGTGCAATAACATACAGAGAAGATGGTTTTCCAACTCGTGAACAGGCCATGTGTTGCTGGTCGTGTGAAAGACATGACATTTCCAATTTATCATTACAATCCGAGCAGATTCCCTTGAAGTACCATTTTACTCTTCCATACGACGTGTTGTATAATTATTTACGTTGGTTCGTTATACGTTGGGAATGCCGACCGATATTAACACGACCTCTTTGTGGCATCGTAACAAATTTCAATCTGCAATGGATTATTTTGTATAAAACCTTAAAAAACATCACTCAATAGTTTTCAATAATTTACCTTTCGAATAGCCGAAACAAAGAAATCGAACGACCGACGATTGAACGATTCAAATAATCTACAAATCAGCTGAAGAAGTAACACAAATGAATTCCAAGGGAAATGAGGTTGGGTGTATTCAGCAACAAATGAAAATTGTTCGAATAAACAAATATCGAGGCATTTCCGAATAAAGCAATCTTCTCGCAAACGGATCACTGACGGGAGTTGAAAAAAATGTATGGGAAATCGTCTCTTTTGGAATTATCCAATTTTCCGTCTTTCCTCAAGAAAAAGTAAAAAGTTTTTTTATTCTTAAACGTTCCACATCCACAACGAACCACCTCTGAAAATTTCATCAAGATTGGTCCACTAACACTAACATGAAAACATTCACTGTATATATAGGTATATGTTTAGTCCTACATACATACACGTATGTACACAAATCCTTCTTTGGCAATTATTGATATTAAATGTTATTATTAATGTTCGTGCAATGCTCCGCAGCAACTCATGCCGTCGAAATAATCAAAGTGAAGCGAAGTAACGAAAACACCTTAAGACGAAATTCCAAAGCTCAATATTAATTAAACTATGAACACTGGCAGCAATAGCTCAGTGGCGAGCAATGTGTACTACCATGCGGAGGAACGCGAGTTCACTGCCCGACCAGACCTCGATTCCAAGTAATAGGAGATTATTTAAAAAACAATTATATTTGTTTCTTGAATGAAAAATCTTTCTCCTGAAAATCCATCAGCCGTTCGGAGGTGGCTTCGTAAAAATGTAGGTCCATGCATTTATAGGAAAAATATTACAAATCGTATTAGGATCTCGGCCGAAAAGCGGTTATAAAACGCCAATTAGGAATATTAATACTTACTCGTAAACGGTGTGTCTGAAAAATAACCGAACTTTATATTTAAATCATACAACATACAGCGCCATCTATTGAAAGTTTGCAACATTAAAAATATACATTCATCCTCTTTCAAACGCACCTAACATCATGTAAGTCGGATGACAGAGGTAAAACTGACAGCAATTTCAATAAAACCAAAAGTGTGCTAATGGTTCAAAAATAAAATGGAGCAAAGAGCAAAATAAAATTTTGTGTCAAACTTGAAAAAAAATTAATGCAAAAAGTTTATAGTGATGATTGTATGAGTCAATAGCGAAGGTTATACGTGGTTTATACGATTTAAAAATGGTCGTGAGGATTTAAATGACGACCCTAGAGCAGGACGTCCAGAAACTAGTAATCGTGCTGAACTGGTGGAAAAAGTCCGTGAAATCATTGGTATCGATGCAAATTTTACTACGAGCATGTTGGCTGAGGAATTGAATACGAGTAAAAACACAATTTGGAAAATTTTAACTGAAGATTTGGGGAAAAGAAAGGTCTGTGCGCCATTTGTTCCACATGAATTAAATGATGACCAAAAAATCGCTCGAATTTTTAATGAAAAAAGGGATTTCTCTCCGTATTCGCCTGATCTATCACCATGTGACTATTTTTTTATTTCCAAAACTGAAAACCAAGATGAAGGGAGCATTTTATGATGATATCCCAGGCATTCAAGCAGCCGTAACCGAGGTAATGAAAAACATTTCTATAAATGACATAAAAAAATCTATGCATGCGCTGGTTGATCGTTCCAAACGTTGTGTTGAGTCAAATGGAACCTATTTTGAATAAATAATAACTTTCAAAGATAATATAATGTGAATTTTATTTTATATCCAAAAAGTTCGGTTATTTTTGGGACACACTGTAGTCTGAATGCTCATGGTCATTTAACACACACGCGCAAAAGTATGGACATTGTTCTGATCGCGTGATTGAATTGATTTAATACAAATATTTACTACCCAAGATTTTGGATATGTATAGCATGTATGTATATGTATGTATATATATAGTTACAGTTATGTACAGGCATATAAAGGGTAGCTTCTTTTGTTTAAACATGTGGCTTTCTAGCAGAATTAAAAGGTATATAATTTAATTTTATGGCATAGAATTCAGCTTTATTATAAAGATAGGGATTT